TAATATCGAGCAGTAATGTGCAGCATGATTTTCAGTTTTGTTCTCAGCGGGAACTGTGTGGTGAGTGGCTTTTCAGTACAGCACAGAGACCACGAGCTCAGAAGGTGGGAGAAACCTGCGTTTGGCTTCCAGTTCTCTTGACACTTAATTTCTCTGAGACTTAAAATAGTCAGCATGGCGTTCTCATGAACTTGTAGAGAGCATGGAATAAGACAGTAAATAGAAGGCACCAGCATGATGTATGCTCTGTACAAGGAGCCTAATAAACCTTTGTTTAATCTAAATTCCAAATTCAATGTAAATTTCTTGTCTTTTTTTCCCTTCCCCCTTATCATAGTTGCTTGTTCTTTGTCCATCCTTTATCTCTTTTTCAGTCAGTGTTCTTTTTGCAAGTTCTAGCTTATTTAAGCTTAAAATGAATTTATTAAAAAATATTAGGTAATTCACAGAACCTAGGAGGATCAAAAAATCCAGCTTGGAAGCTACACTTGACTGCTCCGGAGAGACCCTGAGCCGCTGCCACTGGGCAACTGTACGCCAGTGCCACACCCCACAGCTCGCTCGCTGACACTGGGACTCATCCCTGACACCCCCCTCCGGCTTATCCAGACTGCAGTCCCCGAAGGTTGAATGACTGCATTTGACTGGCACAGTCTTTGCAGCACCACGGCTGGCAGAAAACAAGCAGGACAGGCTCTGAATTCCACCCTGGTAGGCAGGAGGCACAAGGAGAGAAATCCCACAAACACAGAAAGCTGTCGATGGCTTTCACGTGGCCAGTTCACCCTGCTCCTTGCTTCTTATGATCCCCATCATACTGATCAAATTGTGTTTACTCAGGAGTTTCTAGAAACAGAGAAGCTGAAGGCCAATAACAAACCACAAATTATTGATGGTCTCAGCTGTCCCCATCTCTATTTCTTACTCTCTCTGGGTAGAGGAGGGTATATGAGAGTATTACACTGTACAGGGATAGAATGATATTATGCATACAGTGTATAGGTCGACTGATAGACTAATCAGTTATTAAATTCCAGAGCATAAGCAAGGAACAAAAATATAAGTATAAAAATAAATAAAATCTGTGTCTTTCATTCCGGGAGCTCATATCTTAATTAGGAAATCTGTCATGTAAACCACTAATTATAGACAACATAAGAAGAGCTTTAACAGGGAAGACGTGAGGCTCTGTGCACATATGTAATGTCTAGAGATACAAGTTCTAACACCTGTAATAGAAAACCCAAGATGAAAGATATCGTTCGATAATACTTATATCACAAACATATTGGCCAGTCTGTTTTGTTACACAGGTGGCTGGAGATATGTCAATAGACTGTTGTGTGATGCTCATACATTCAGACCGCACTGTGTGCTTTTCATTTTTATTCATATTTAGCTTTTAGATTTTTCACTGCCTTCAAATCATTTCAAGCTTGATTGTTATTCAGACGCTCACTGTAAAATGAAATTTTAGATCATAAACTGTCCTTGAAAATAGAAACTCCTTACTATGATACTAATGTTTTACTTTCCAGTCTTAAAATATTATAGTTTTTAATTTACATGTCTTATGTATACTCATTTAATAAACAACTTTAAATTCAGTAATCACATTTTCCCGTAAGCTTTGATTAGAACAATTATAGTAAATGAAAATAAGAAAGTAATTTCTGTGAAGAGATTCATAAAGCGTCCTTTTCAAGCCATAAAGCAGCCATCTAAGTAGTTGAGGTTTTTTTTTCCCCAGCATTAGGGCTACAAAAAAATTATTTCTGCTCTGTTTACAATACAGACCCAAAACTCTTTCACCATCTGCTCATCTTCTTTGTCCTGATCTCCCCAAGTTCTATGAGTTTTTAGCAGAAGACTTAGCACACAAAAGGGGCACAACAAATGCTGTTGAATGTCTGTCTGGCCCTCTTACCTACGCCAAGGAGGTAGACACATCAGCAGAAAGTCCCCTCCAAAATAGAAATGAATAACTGAATTTCTACATCTACTCCAATCTTTTTTAGCCCTAAATGTTTTTGGCCAATGTTGGTTTGCCTTAAATTTTTTTAAAAAATGAAGAAGAAGAAGAATATTTACGTTTAAGGGAAGAATGTCCATGTAAGGGATATATCCACATGAAGATTGCCACACCAACTTGTTATAAACTGATCGGGAACACGAGACTGAACGTTTTCAGTCACCTCCATACTGTACACTGAACACTGAAGATAATATTCCCATAAGTTTCTCCCACTGACATCCTAATGTTGTGTTTTGTAAATGCTAATAAAATGTATGAGGAAAAAAATAAAGGCTATGAACACATGATTAGCAGAGTTTTTTTATGACATCTTTAACCCATCGTGGTATAAAGCAAGCCAAAGCATGAAATGTGTTTTAAAGGCCCACAGACTATGAATGCATCTCTAGAGCTGCATTAGGGTGTGAGACAATACAATTGTCTGCGTGTGTGAATTCCTCTAACTCAGATTCTACTCTGCACATGTGGGAAGGTTGAGGAGGCAGGCTTTTACTTCTCATGTCTTTATTCTTTCATCCCCAAATCCCTCAAATTCCCACCCCCCCATGTACACTCAGACATATGACTCATACACACACTACAGTCACACTCACTCACAAGTAAGAAATAATACAAGTTTGTCACGAGTAAAAAAGACCCCAAATCACTGTTCTTTAAAGGAGATAGAAGTTTGTTTCTCTCTCAGACAAGAGTCTGAATGTGGGCAAATCGAATTCTGTTGCACAAATAGGAGCTTCCATCTTGTCACTCCACCATGTGTGGCCTCCGTTCCCCAGGGCGTTGCTCCAACACCTCAGCTGAGGCCAGCCAGCAGGAAGAGTAAATGAGAAAAGAAGGGAAAAGGATCAGGAGCACAGTGTCTGGCTAAGGAAGTTTCCCTGAGCTTCCATGCAGAAATCCTACTAACATCTCTTTGGCCTGAACCTAACAACATGACCATAATCAGCCAAAACGGAAGGTCAGAAATGTCACTTTTTTTTATAGTGTGTTCCCAACTGACATATTAGGTGTTATCATTGAGAAGAGAGGGGAGCATGAACATCGGCAGACAACTAGCAAGCTGTCATGGGACTCTTCCCTCTCTCTACCCTGATATGATGTGTAGAATCTCATTCCTTGTTCTACCCACCCTACACCACCTTTCTCTCTACATCTTAGTCCACAAAGAACCTTATTCTTAAGTATCCAAACACATTTCTGCTCAAAGAAAAGGCAAGGGGAACAATTAGTGAAGGACAGACCAACTGTCACTATTTAAGCTACTGAGTAGAGTAGTTCCCCCCTCACTCCTCACTCGCTGTTCCAGTTTTCATGGTTCCCATTATCTACATCACAGTCTGAAAAATATTAAATGGAAAATTCCAGAGATAAACAATTCATAAATTTTAAATTGCATGCCCTTCCGAGTAGCGTGATGAAATCCTACACTGTCCCTCTCTGTCCTGACCTGACCAGGACATGAACTATCCCTTTGTTCATAATATCCATGCTGTACATGCTATCCAACCACTGGTCACTCAGGAGCCATGTGGGTTATCAAATCAACTGTCTCAATATTACAGTGGCTATGTGCAGGTAACCTTCATTGTACTTAATAATGGCCCCAAAGCACAAGAGTAATGGTACTGTAATACGGATATGCCAAAGAGAAGCATAAGGTGCTTCCTTTAAGTGAAAAGCTATGTATGTATGTGTGTATAGGAAAAGACATAGGGTATATAGGGTTCAGGTCTATCCTCAGTTTCAGGCACCCACTGTGGGGTCTTGGAATGTAATCCCACAGATAAGGGGGATGGCTGTACTACAAACTTGAATAGAAGAATCTGAGCCTAATTCTAATCCTCTGCCTCTGTGTTTGCTATCTAAATTGAGAACACAGTTGGCTTTAATTGAACATAAAATCTCCTGTTTGATCCTAAACACTAGAATAGGATTTCCATTTGCTAGTAAGTAGATTTTGGATCTCATCCCTAAAGAAGCTAAATAGTGATAGTTACAGTATTATCTCATTCAGGTCTGGAACAAATATTGTCTGGAGAGACACCAACCTCTGTGGGCAGCACAATCAGTAATTTAAACACAAATTTAAGCTGCAAACACAGCCCTACTTATCTAAGCATTTGTTCTCACACTTCACAAAGAACCAGCGGTATCTTTGAAATCCTTAGTTTCAAAGAAGGGAGCAAATCACACAGAGCTGATCCATGCCCACACACATAACTTCTTTCACCTGTATCTTAGGTATTGGGCTTTCTAGATGAGACATTGGTTTTTTTTTAAGGTTTTAAATGTTTAACCTCATTGTTCCAAGCCCGAATTATATTTGTTGTGGATTTGTGTCTTATGGCCATGATAGCCTTGAAGTTTCTCAGCCTTTCGGAAGTTAATGAAGGAGGGTAAAAAGAGAAGGGACATATGGGAACACTTCTGCTGACTTGTCATCATGACATATTTTTGCAAAACTTATTTAACTTATTTAGAAACATCACAGTGATGCTTGCAAAACAGATCCTCAGTGTGTCCTGATTAGTGAGATTATATTAGCAAGTATTTCTGTCTTCTTTGCAGTCATAACCTATCTGTATAATTAAAATTATTTATTTAAGTGGTGAATTTTGCTTTCTAATTCTTTTTATTTATTTATTTATTTTTAGAGGAGGGGAAGGGAGGGAAAGAGGGAGAGAAACATTGATGTGAGAGAGGAAGGTAAATCAGCTGCCTCTCTTACGGACCCTGATCAGGGACAGAACCCACAACCCAGGCATGTGCCCCAACCCAGAATCTAACTGGTGACCCTTTGCTTTGTGGGACAATGCCCAACCAACTGAGCTACACCAGTCAGGGCTGCTTTCTAATTCTTAAGACATTTTTATTGTGTAAATATATTTATCGCCTGAAGGAAACTGAGTATTCCTGTCTTGGGTAACCTACACAGAGGAAATGATGACCAACTGACAAGACATGGTAAGTTTGCATGTTATATCTTCACCACAACTTTATTGTTATCAGAATTCTCTCAGCAGTCTACTTCATTGGTCAAATATTCCATGGGGGCAAAAAAAAAAGCATATGCAATCTAATTGTCAATTACAAAACCCAATCTTTTCTTTTTGGTAGATCAGCTACTTAAGTAAAAATCACACCTCTGAAGGAATAGTTAAGAGATCCATTCTAAATAAAATACTCTAAGAATTTATTTCTCTCAGCATCTGTTTCTTCATTTTCTAGCTCATATTTCTTCATGGCAACAAAATAGCGAATGAAGGTTTCCCCTAGAGCCTGTCTCAGACATTGATCTTCCTCCAGTGCCACAAGGGCATCTTCCAGTTTCAAAGGGATCTCGGAAGGTTTCGATGGGTAAAGCTCCGTGCTGTCATCTGGACCGGCCAAGACACCATCGCTGCTCCCAAGCCCATCCAAACCTGCTGCGACCGTCGCGGCCAACACCAGGTAAGGATTCGCGGTTGCTGAGCCCAGTTTATTTTCTATCTGGGTGCCTTTCTCCCCGTGACACTTGATATTAAAAGCACAGCTGTTATCATTATAGCCCCATGTTGTAGGCACTCTCTCCTTCTGGTCTTTACCCTCCTTGGAATAACGTTTTCGGCAGCTCACGGCAGGAGCCATCAGGCAGCTCAGCGCAGCAGAGTGCTTCAAGAGTCCGGCCAACCATTTCTTCCCGATGAGCGTGAGCTGCTCCGCTCCAGAACTGCTGCAGAACAGGTTTTCCTTCCCTGCCACATCCCAGAGACTATGAGACAAAATACCTGAGTTGCAGAATCCAGTCTCAAAGAAAAAGCTAGTGATGTAATTATATTTCCTGGCCACTTCTTTGACACCTGATCTGAGGGTAAATGCATTATCAGCTGAACCGATGCCAAATTCGGGCAGAAAACAGATTTCCATCTGACCAGGCCTGGTAGAGGAAGAGAAGCTTTCCACACTGGCTCCAGTGTGGTACAAACCATCAACCAGCTCCTGGATGAAGGGCTGGTCGTGATTACTTAGCAATGTGGAAGCCGGAAAAGATATGGTCTTCGAATTGATCATCTCCGGCACACCAAAAATACAGAAATCATAGATAAAAGCAGAGAGCAGGGAGAAGCCAGAGTCTTGAAGCTGGTTCAGCTGCCTCTTGGCGATGTACCTCGGGGAAGTCAATAAAGGCTCACCAGTCACAGTGAATGTGTCACAGATCACTCTGGCTGTTCTCTCAGCCCACGGCAAAACTCTAAAGGTTGATAACTCCGGTATCAGGACTATATCACTGTTAAAACATGTTGCTCTTATGTGATCCACTTCATTGTCCTTAGGATTCGGTGCCAATTCAAGATAACCTCGGGGCATGAAAACACCATGGATCACTTTTTCCTAAAGAAGTTAAAAGGACAAAGCAATCAGGTTTTACACCTTGAAAACAAACAAAAAGGTGGAGATGGTGCTTGCAATTGAGGAAAAAAGAATGTGTTTAACATCTATTAGTTAATATTAACTTAATTTTAAATATTTTGAAATAAAACCCCAAAAGTACTTTTAGAAACACCTCGTTTTTAGCCTTATAAGCTTTATATGCTCTTGAATCTGAAAATAGCGGTCATAAACAAAAGGTGTAATGATAAAATGTCTTTATAGCAAATGACAAAGGTTACGTAAAGCCTTATGGAATTATTTGAAATGATTGTAACCAAAGGTATTTTTCAAAGCACTTTTTATTTTATGGCTTAGTTCCTAATACTTCAGACAAGGTTTTTTGTTTTGTTTTGCTTTGTTTGTTTGGCTTATCCTATTGTAATCTCCATAGTTAACTGACTCTCAAAAGTCTACGGGAAAGAATTCCTGTTTTTTCTCAGAGAGCCGACTGTAGTCAGTACCACCACACACAGGACAGGCGCCCTAACACCAGAGAAGCCAGGTGTGTTGACAGCTGCACCCCTCTCTTCATTCATTTTTACAAGCCACTTACGAATGAGCTACCTCAGTTTCATAGAGTCCCCAAAAACCTTGCCCATGAATGTGGACCTGTATCTCCACACTCACTATTTCCAAAATGTTAGGGCCTTCCATTCAGCATGAACTGGGGTGTCACCAAATCTGACTTCTAGTCCTGGTTCGTTCACTCTCTGTGTGAAGTTAGGCAGTGGCTGGACGGTGTGCACTTTGGCATCCACGTCTGTGCAGCAGAAGTGTTAGACTGAGTGAATGCTAAGGCACTTTCTAGCCATACACCTCCTGGGTTCAATGGATTTGGTCATTTATTTACCTTTTGCTAGTGCCAAACAACAGGAAAGTGATGAGGTTATAAAGCCAAACAGACACAACAAAGCAATTTTTAGAAACTGTGTAATAAGAATATCAACAAGGTTTCATGTGTTGAAGGTTACATTAATAGTTAGAGAAAGACGACTACAAAGTTTGATTCCCATGATGTCAGTAAGCATTATGAGTTTAATAAAACATACTGCCATTCTGCAAGTCAGATTGTTTATTATATTACCTCCAAACCCCAAGGGCACGGCTACCAAAGAGGCTCGGGTGCTAGCAGATGAAATCCGCCAGTCCACTCTTCTGCCTTTGACCATGAGCCACCACCTCCTTCAATTTCCACCATCTCCACACACATTTTCAAAAGCCATTTGACTCTGCTGACTCAAATCTGCTATTGCTAGTAATAAAGTTGAGTAAGGTGAGCACTATTCCTCTGCAGCTTAATTTTTCAACTCACTCATGGACTTGTGCACATAAACTTTATACACACATATTTGGGAATTTTTAAGGGTACTTAAGTATGAAATCCTTTCATTCAAATTTTCTCTGTAAAAAATGTTATTTCCCTAACTTGTCAACTTTTTAGTTTGAAAATCTGTATGCTAATTTTATATCTAAAATGAGGGTTAATGTGTTTTATTCATGAGACTTCCAAGAGTTCTTGCAATTTAAATTTGTGTGCATTCACTTGGTTGTAAACAATAGAGAACAGCTTGTTAACATTTCACTCTTCATGAATGTAAAGGATAGTAAAAAAGTCACACTTTATTCTTCAGGTTATTGAATCTGTATTTTGCTGAGCGCTCTTTTTAACTGTTTTTTACTTTATTCTTTTATGAATATTCTGAATGCAAACTACTCTTTATCAGTAGTGGTAAATATATAAATATGTATATATAAACAGATTATGTATGTTCTTGACAATTGTTGTCTTAAATTATCTTTATAACTATAAACACTAGAACAACTTCAAACTCCAATATACATCACCAGGGACAAAGTGAAAAATTTTAGAGTGGCTCAAATCTCAATGATAACTGAAATTTGGGCCACAGTAAAGGTCACCTTTTGAAATAAGCAAAGAATTAGCTAAGAGTTCCATAGCAACATATCATGTTTTGAGTAGATCAAATTTAGAACCTCTGTTATCTGCACATAATTTAAAAAAAGGCAATCCTTTGTTAGTACAGACAGTATAAGTTGGTTGAGAGGTTTACACAAACTCATGTTTGTAAGGCATTGAACAGATTATCAGGCACATGGTGACTTCTTTCAAAAGTAGACACATCATTATCACAGGTTCCCCATTAAGCCTTTTCCAATTACATAACAGACTTTTTTTTCTATTCTGAGTAAATGGCTCATTTTCTAACACCAGTATTTTTTCAATTTTCTAAGAAAGAATTCTTATCTCAAATTAACAATAAAAGGAAATATAAAAGCTAAACTGGAAGCAGAAGGTGTAGTAAAATAAACAAACAAATAAAAATTCTGGAAATGGAAGCAAGGAATCACCAACTAACATCCCAACTCTGTCACTAACCGCCTGTACTATATTTTTAAAAAGCTTTCTTTAACTTTCCTGGGATGCACACACACGTACATACACACACACACACACACACACACACACACATACACACACATATATATACACATACATATATATGCTTTATTTATCAGATAAATATTTCATATCTCATCTTAATATCTCATCTCAAGCTGACCTTTTTATAAGGAGAAGAAAGGGTAGATAAAGGGTTTGAGGAAAAGGTTAATCCAATAAGATTTTCAGTCCAGAGGCCATTTTCCTAGTACTTCTTCATTTGTTGACCAACAATTTTTTATCGGAGTCACTGACTTCCTTCCCTAGAACACACGCTCAGATACTATCTCTATCACTTGCAGACACCCTGGGGCACAAGGGTTGAACTGCTTGCTGAACTCCTGAAGTCATGCATTTTAGGTCATGCATTTTAGTTTATGGAATAACAGCTTCCCACATGCATTCATCACTTAAGCCTATCAACTATGACTGAAGCTAAAATCTTTTACTCTGAGTTCATCCATCACTTGAGGAGCAATAATGTGTTTGGCCAGGGACAAGGGAAGAAATAAAATAAATTACCAGTTTCCAGCTAAACTTGCTGTATAGATTAAGATAAAATGAGAAAGAATAATAAGGACCATTTGCTTGCCAATGGTCATGAAATTGCATTCAGTTATAACTCTACTTGTAAAACTCACTTGGAAGAAGTGTGCAGGGATACTTTTAGACCTGGACACTCCATGGAGATCTGTTGCTTCAAATCGCACAAACTGAAGGTGATTTTTGGCCATCTCTTGTTTAATGTGCTTCATTCTAGAGGAGGGTTGAGGTACTGCTGGCACTTGTTTGCTGTCCCTGTTGTTATCTGTAAAACAGAGAATGGCTCTAAAGCTTAGATCATAATGAAAAGCAAAAAGAGGCTGGAGAGCAGTGAATTATTTATTATGATTATTAACAAAAGCATCATATATTCATGTCATTGGTTTAGAGTTAGAGATCTTACCTTTCTTACTCTGTCTTTGCGTATTCCCAAGAACATTGTCCCTAAACAGCCTAAGAGATTGTTTATCACTTGGGACTAGGTGAAAGTTAACATTATTTGCATAAGTATATAGCAACATCATATGTAAATACTTACTGAAAATGCCTTTGCTTATGGAAATTGGAATATATTTGCATAATTGGACAGCTTTGGCACCATATAAATCTGTATATAGATGACTACCATTAAAACACTTTGAGTTTCTTGAACTAACTGGTAATACCTGAATTAAAATTTCCTATACATTTTTTTTGCTTTTTTCTGTTTGCCAAAGGGTTTTTACATCTATAATTGTATCAACAATAATATATATACATATACATACACATATATATATGACTCTAAGGCATCTACATTTTTCTGTCAAATTTAAAACTTGTGTAAATAAGCAAACAAATGTATTTTTCAAGAATAAGAGTGTAGGAGATGAAAAATCTAGACTGAGTACTCAACTCTAAAATTAGAAGCATAGAGCAATCAGAAAGCAAAAGATGAAAGGACTATAGGAAGTCCCCATATATCAATAATCACTCTAAAATTAGAAACAAAAAATGGGTTTTTCAAGACTTTCAAGATAGTCTTCAAATTCTAAAACTTTAGAATTAGAAGAGACTTTGAAGATCAGACAATCCAATCAGCTCATTAGCTGGAGTCCCAGAGAGATGCAATGAGGTTCCCCAAATCACACTCTCACTTCATTACCAAAATTTAAACTAAGATTTGAACTTTCTATTTTAGTGGGTGGCTCATCACCGTAAAATGACTGAATACATGTAAAACATATAGAGGGGTCAGGCACATGACACCCATTATAAATGTTAGCTACTGTCCGAACCTTTAGGAGAACCAGCAGACTGTAGAAATTCAGCACAAACACTGGAGCCCATCTGCTCCTGTCTAAATCCTGCCTTAGCCGCAGCAAAATTCTTATGCTCTGTGTGCCTTGGCTTTCTCATTGATACAATATACCTATTGGCTTGCTATGATGATTAAAGCCTATATCATAGGCTTGTTATGACAATTAAATAAGTTATTCAGTAGTTCCTGAGACAGTAAATACGATGTAAGTGCTTCTTAAATGCATAAAGTGAGCACAATTACTCCAATTCTAATAATGCTACTATGATCATATCTGAATGGAATACCCATCAATCTGTCATATCACTGACAATGAGTATCATTTTTTAATATAATTACCCTTTAAAAATAAGCATAGAGATTAGCAATTTAAAAACACAGATTAAGTAGATTTTAAGTAGATGAAGCGTGAGAGAAACAATTCACTGGTTCCACCCATTCGAATATATTACAGATAATGTCCCATCACTGATACATTTGGTTAGTCTGAGACTCCTGAGGATTTATAACTACCTTTCATTTAACACAAACAATTAAGCTATAGTAATTACAGTGTTTTATGCTAAATTATCAGCTGCTGTGTTCCCAAACTATTCTGAAGTATGGGATATTCTGCCTAAGTTAAGTAACTCCCTTTAAAGAAAATAAAATTTATAGGTATTTTAAAATATGAAAAATGTGAGGTAATCAGTATTCTAAACATCATGAGCCAATATATATGAGCTACAAATGTTTTAACAACATAAAAAAAATAAGAATGCATTTTCTAATAAAGGGATAATTTCATTTTATTTCACCAGTAATATGGTCACAAGTAATTCTATTAGTTCTTTGCTTTATCTGTATCTTCTAAAGTTATAATACAATAAATAGTATTATTTTTAAATAAGAAAAATATTAATCCACTGAAGATAGTTTTTTTTTTAGTTAACACTACTATTTACACTGAACACAGTCTAGGAAGCAGCAGAAAAATTCCTGTCCTCATGAAGTTTTACATTATTGAATGAGGGAACTATTGGTAATAAACATGCTATGGAATGACTCCAAAGCTGAGAAAATTGACCATGGTGAAAGTGCTGAAAAAAATGAAAAAAACACAATCACCTGGAATATTAGTTCTATGAGATTTGATTACAGTGTGGACAGATCCAACCACAACTTCAGTTTAAGATCAGCGAGTTGCACTGTGGATACACAGTGAGTATATGTATTAGTTTGCTAGTGCTGCCGTAACAAAAGCCACAGACCAGGGAGCTTTAACAAAAATTTATTTTCTTATAGTTTTATTGGCTAGAGGTCAAAGATCAAGATGTCAAGAGGGTCAGTTTCTTCTGAGGGCCTCTCTTCTTGGCTTACAGATGTCTGTCTTCTTTACATGGTCTTCACTCTATGTGTGTGTGTGTGTCCTAATCTCTTCTTACATGGACACCAGTCATACTGGACTTAGGAGCCACCTTACATGACTCATTCAACATTATGTAGCTCTTTTCAAAACCCACCTCCAAATACAGTCAATATTATGAGGTACTAGGGATTTGGGTTTCAACATATGAACTGGGGGGAGACACAACTTAGTACATAAAAAGATACCACTTTGTTATCATTTCTTTCAGAGTCCTTACCATCACCTGCCATATTGTATAAGCAAATGTTATTGTCTGTCTTCCCCCACTTGCATGTCAGCTCCAAGAGAGCAGGGGCTGAGCTATATTTGCTGCTGTGTCCCTAGTATCTGCATATCATAGTCACTCAATGGCTCTAATGAGTAGGTGTGTGATTTAATTAATTAATGCATGCTGTGTGATTTGGTCTTGTCGAATTAACAAGCAAAATTTGCATCAAATATTTAGGTATGTACCCTAAATATCTATTTTTCAGTTAAAAGTTTAATTTTTATTTTACCAAATATGAGAACCCTATTCCAACCTAATTTCATTTTCAAGGCAGTAACTAATCTTGCGGCATCATTGTCTGAATTCCTTTTCTTCAAATAAATCATACTTGTTAGTTACAATTAAACCTTTTGGTCAACCCTCCCTGGATGCCCATGATGAATAGCAGATAATTGCCAGTTCAGGGTCTCATTTGTTTTTCTTACAGTGTGGTTCCTGGGAAGTGCTCTTTTTTTCATCCCCCAGAGGACTAATAAATTAAATCAATGTGCTTTTATAGAGGAAATTTAACTGCTGTGAGTGTTTGGGGGGGTGAAATCAGAAAATACATACAAAAAGAATAAAAATCCTCCAAGCTCCATAGCAACTAGAAGGCCTTGGAGAAATGCTGCCTGTGTTCAGTGACAATGAGGACATACTTCAGCTGTTGAGAGAAAGCCATGGTCACTTATAAAAGGCAGATTAGTTAGGCATTTGGGCTTTCAGAAACAGTGATTCAAAAAGGAAAAGTGCATTTGAGAGTACACTCTGTAATCATGCAGTTTATGGAATGCTGGGCATAATTGGCCATGTTCCTTTCCCATGGCCTACTCTCCTTCAACCACAGAGCCATCTGAGAGCCACCCTGCTACTGCAAATGTCCCCCACCCACCCTCTGCTGCATGGTGTTAGCCCAGCAGTGTTAGAGAGCCCAGGTGGCCAGATAACCTGGTACAAAGCAAGGACAGAAACAATAAAATGTGGACAGGTAGGTCTGGAGGGGGGAGCTTTTCTTTGGAAAAAAAAACGTATATAATTATTTTAAATTCAGAATACCTATTACAGAGATGAAAATACCATGTTAAGATGTTTGCACTTATTTTGGGGATTGACTTTTATATTGATTTTTTAAATATTTATTAAATTATTATTTAAAATACACATAAAAGTGGTTTAATTGAGGTTATAAACTTTTTCCCCCTGGGGTGCTTGAAAACATTTAGTCTAGCCCTGCACCAGAGAGGGAGCTTCTGAATGAAGTTGAGGTGATAATGGTACCCAAGCTCCTAGTTGATTTGTGCAAAGACAATTCGTGACACAAGTTCTTCCCTTAGATTTTTTTTACTGAAGATTAAGACGCGGTAAATTCCATCTCTCTTTTTTGGCTAAAGGTTACAAACTATTTGTGAAAGAGTCCATATGGCCAGCAGATGTTTTCTTATTAGTCTTCCCAATGTTTAAAAACTTTTTTGAATTAGTTGACCTTTAAATATCAAAAAAGTTCATATATAAATCTTGAGCTCAAGCTTCTCTTGAAGAAACTAGATGTGGAACACTAGGTGAGTATTTCTTCATAGCAACCATTTACTAGAGCTCTGGAATGGAGTATGCATCTCCTAATACATGGGTTGGCAAACATTTTCTGCAAAGGGCCAGATAACAAATATTTGCAGCTTTTCAAGCTGCATACTATCTGTTGCAACTACTCAACTATGCCACTGTAGCACAAAAGCAGCCACAGACAATACGTAAATATTCTTTACAAAAACCAGTCCACAAGCTGAATTTGGTCCCTCTGCCAAATTTGGTCCCAAGCCATAATTTGTCAACCTCCGCTCTAGTTTCTCACAGCCAGCACCACTTCCTATTTGTCTATACCAGCCCACCTCACTCATTTGTGTTATTTGCCTGGCCCCTATGGCATTTGTGTTAATCCCTGATGCTTAGGGGCTGTCAGTGCTCATTCTCTTCATGGAGAAATTCATGAAAACAAAAGCACAGAGAAATGCAGAAATGACAGATGGTGTGATAGGCAGAATAGCCTACCAAAGATTTTCACACCCTAAGCCCTTGAACCTGTAGATTATGTCAAACTGCATGGTGAAAGGCGCTTTTCTGATGTTGTTATATGTAATCTTTAAATAGGAATATTGTTATGGATTATCCAGGTGGACCCCTGAAGGCAGAGAACTGCCTCCAGTTGTAGGCAGGAAAAAAACTGTGGAAGAAGGGGAATCGGGAGAGATTCCAAACATGAGAAGGATTTGGGGCATTGCTGGCCCTGACATATGGAAACAGAGAAAGAATTCTAGGAGCGAAGGGCCACCCAGTTGATAGCCAGCCAGGAAATAAGAACCTCAGTTCTACAACTGTAAGGAATTGGATTCTTTCAACAATCTGAATAAACTGAAAGTGGAAAGTTCCGTAGAGTCTCCAGCTAAGAACCCAGAGGTCCAACACTGGGTTCTTAGACCTTGCAAAACCTGATAAAAAGAAAGCAGCTGAGCCAACCCAGATGTCTGATATCCATAAGTCTGAGATAATGAATTATGTTCTTTCAAGATGCTAAGTTGGTGACAATTTGTTATGGGATCAACAGAAAACTAATGCACAAGTACATGGAGCTCTGATAGTGCTCACTCCCAGGCTCTACTTCCTCCTTAGCCCTTATGTGTAGAAAAGAATTTCCCTGTGCCCAGGAGAACACCAGCCTTTACCCTTGGCACCTAAGAGGTCATCTCTAAGATCCTGGAATTTCCTTCCTGACAAGAGTATCTTTGTTTACCTGGGGCTTCTGGCCCCCCTAGAAAGTCTAGCAATGTCATTTATTGTTGAGTCATGCAGTATCAGTGTGACCCCAAGGAGAGCTAGCACCTGAGATCAGTCACACAGCCAGTTGGCTGTGGAAACCCGATAGACTCTGGACACTAAGACTCAGGTGAGCTTCTCTGCTTACAATGCTCTGGGCGTATTGTCACACGTTGTTGTCAAGAGAATAGTGTAATTCACAACTCCACGGGGAGAAAGCCAATGGAAGCTCTGTAGTTAGAACTTTCCTGGAGTCCCCCGCAATGAGTCATTTCCCTTGTTGAATTTTAATCTGCATTCTTTCATAATAATAAACTATAACCTTGAGTATAATCACTTTCAGTGAGTTCTATGAGTCCTATAGCACATTATGAAAACTAAAATTAATCTTGGGAAACTCCTAAACATGCAATTAGCTTCAGAAGTAAGCATTGCCTGGTGGATACTGTCTCTGTAACTTCATACCCTGCTATATTTCTGACTTGCCAAACCTTGTTCATTCAACCCTTTCATTATGGATTTCCTCAAGGAAAAAAAAAATACTTCTTTTTAACTAGCTTCTCTCATTTAGATCTCAGAGGTTTTTAACCAATGTACTTACAGTCCAAAAAAGCTATATCATGATTAACATGCGAGAGATTTAGAACAACATACAGTCACTTTTAGAAAGACTTGAGAGATCATCCATGACAACCCCTCCATTTTTCAGATAAGCAGCCCAGTGGGTACAGAAAGCTGTAAAGCACTTTATAGATGATAGCTGTATAAATTCTTCTAAGTATTCTGACTACCAAGCTAGCATTCCTCAGCCAAAATCACATTAACTCTAATTCAAACGCAAATTTGGGATTAGTGGCTGGAACCATATGCCTGCTGATCCCAGAGTCCTTACCAGTATAGCTGGAGTCTGGGTTGAATTCACCACCAGGAGCACTGGCTGATGTTTCGAGTGGCAAGAGTTTTATCACAGGTATGTAATCCTGGAAGTCTTTGTCATCTTGTGGCAGATGAGAGTCAGCAGAGCCATGTCCCACAGGTGGTTTGCTCATATCCCCCACTTTGTGACACACCACTTGTTTTTTGATCCTTTCTGTAGTAATAAGGAAAAATGTTAAGGCATAATTCCATTGTTTCCAACTGTCTTTCAATATGATATGAAGAGAAATACTTGAGGAAACAATTTATTCCTAGGTGGTGGTGTACAAAATGAAGGGCAGTGGGCACAGTACACTCTAGCTGCAGGCCATAAGGGGCGCATTGTCGGTAGAGAATTTAAAAACAATTTTAAAAATCTAAAAAAGTCTGCTTTTTATTGTTGCTATGCACTAGCCCTTCCTACTGACCTGCTTTGGAAAGCACCAATGTTCTTAGAATTGAGTCTGTGTCCAAATTAACCCCTGGTTTCAGCACTGCTGCAGATTCATTAGAGCCAAACTGGAATTCCCACACATCACATGAAAACACGCTCCACATCTTTATCATGACCTCCCAAATCCACAGTAATAATCTTTGGACTCAGAACAGACATGTGCTTCTTTTCTTACTTAAATGTTCCTTCTGTTACATTCTCTTTTCTCCCCACTGTATCTCCTCACTCTGCTGCCCTGTCAATTCTGAATGTTTTGGTTGATTGTTTTCATATATTTACACTGTAAGCCCATACTTGCCATCTTTTTATGTTGCCCATGTAGAAATAAATTTTATTTCTTTTATTTCCTTCAGTCAAATTTATTACGAAAAGATGAACCAAATAGAGATTGTCATTGACCACATATTTTTGAGGGATGATAGCAGCAAGATACCTCCTGAGAGTAAGTCTCATACTCTATGGACTAAGCCAGCTGAGCACATGCACAAGGTACCTTTTGAGTTGGATATATCCATTTCTCCTATTTCAGTTGAAGAAATCTGTGATTTAGCGACTTTCTTTCTTGTCCTCCTTAATTTCGTCATCCTGTTGCCTTCCATCTCATTGCCTTCATCTCTCGCATCCTGTAATAATTAACCAACAAAAGGTCCAATAACAGATCAGCACACAACTAAATTTGGTTGTCAAGAAGGTATTATGATTGAACAGCTAAATTTTAAAGTGAGCATAGGAGACTTTTATGACAAAGTAAATTTTGCCATTTCCACCTCCACTCACTTGAATAATTCAAAATTACAAAGCTCAACATTCTGCTGACAGGCTGGATTTTCTGCATGGCCTTTTGGATGCGGTACAGAAAATTTCATAAAATAAATGAAGATCTTGTCCAACCAGTCAAGAGTTCTATCTTTATTTTATATTCTGTGGTGTTTTATATTGTTTATTCCTAAATAATTTTAATGAATGCATTTCAGCTAAAAGGTTTTCTTCTTAAGATTTCTTTTTTAGCATCTCTAATGTCTTTGACCAGAGGCATAAGAACTTGAGAATTTGATTCTCTTTTTTCTTACCTCCTCCTTATTGCATCAATATTTACTTCAGAAAAGCCCTTGATAAAATGCTGTTTTGTGACTGTATTTTATATGTGTAAATTGAATGTCATACTCAAACTGTTTTAGTTTGAGATATGTAAAGAAAAACAATTTTAAACTAAATAACAAAACTTCCTACACTCTTGTCTTCAACGGGATCCCTTGATAGACCTGCGGAGGGCTATTTCCAGCAGGAAACTGGGCAGAGAGGCATGGGTCAGGGGTGAGGAGCTCCTGTGTCTCTGCACCAGCAATGGACAGAATCATTTCTGAGCCCCAGGACACAAAGCCAATGCTGAAAAAAAGATTACAGTTTTTTAAAGCTGACACTGGTATTTTGAGGGGAAATGAAAGTGGCATGGCCAGGGTCAAAAACTACACTCTAAAATGTTTTAAGCTATTATCTTTTTGAGGAGAAGGTGTTCAGAAGTTCCATATCTGGGGGCAAGTTATATAAACACACAAGCAGAGCAGTTGCTGGGGCACAGTGGTACCTATTTTTCAAGAAAACCAATTCAGTCTCTGAAGGTGAGTAGAGAAAAACTTTTTCTTTTTCTTGTCTATATGTAATTATGATATACTATTTTTAATTCCATGTTAACAAAGCTATATTTCATAAGGTAAATCTTTTTTGTTATTTTAAAGTTTTACTACCTAGAGTATTGTGGTTTTTTTCACTCCAGATAATATTATACTTGGACCATATGATACTAATTGTGGAATAATTTTTTCCTAGTCATATATAATTTTATTTAAATATTTGTGTAAAGTTTCCCAATACACTTCTTTTAACATTCTGATAGTAATATGTAAACTATTTACATATTTATCATTTCTAAAATTGCATTGTCAGAAATATACATTACATCATTGTAGATTTTTTATATTTAATGTATTGGGGTAACAGTAGTTATTAGGGTCATATAGGCATAAATGTATAATTCTATTTTTGGTAACTATTTTTATAAATATATGTCTTTATTTTTAAGACGTCTCATTTAGAAAATAAAGTATTTGTCCAGGTATATAAGTATCAAAAAAAGCTGAGCAGACTAACATTTCTACTAGTTTGAGCTTTTAGGGGTCCCCTTATATACAGACTGAATAAATAAAATGAGATAAACTTTAAGATTTCTTCCAGCTTTAAATGATAACATACAACTGATACAATAATATGCTAAAATTGAGATCTTAGTCAGGCACGTTTCCTCAGCATAACCCTCAAAGTAGTTGAATCTGCATTTTGTAAATGATGAAAGTGAAATTCAGGATAACTTGCTCAAGGCCACAAGAGTGAATAGAAGTTGCAGGTCACAAACAGGTCTTCTGATTTCCAAATGCCATTCTCCTTCCAAACTGCCAGAGACTGGAGCCCAGAGAAAGTTCATTTTAGTAACATTTACCAGTCTCCATATATTCAAGACCAAAAGGAAAATTTCTTAAGAAAACAACAAAGACAATTCATCTGGTTATTAACCTGAGAATTTCACCAATAAAATCCCAGAACTAAGTCATAGTATGTACTTCTGACTCCATGTTCAGAAAAATATTTTTACATAAAGAATGCATTTAGTTCAGTCCTTTGACTTTCTCTTATATACTAGGATGACCAAAGTATAAACTTATTTATAATAGCTGAAACAAACTTGAGATTTTTGGTTTGTCCTGCCTCCAGTGAAGTATTTTTATTCTTCTTAGTCTTAATTATATTTAGTTATGATGTGAATGATATTTCAGTAAAAAATTGTTAGAAGATGACCACATAGGTAAACACAGCTCACCTCCTTGCACAACCACATCAAAACTACAACTAAAATATAAAACAACCATTCACTCAGAACTCTCAGGAACTGAGCTGAATGTAAGTCTGACAACTAAGGAATTAAACAAACCACATCCATCCAGACTGGTAGCAGATGCAAAGATGCAGAATGGGCTGGTCCAACATCCTCATATGGTGGATAAAAATTTGGGACGAATATTTTGGGAGCAAGAAGTTCCAGTCACATACCAAGCCCTACAGCCCAGGGCTCCAGTGCCAGAGAGATAAGTCCCCATAAATTCTGGCTGCAAAAACCAGCAGTAATTGAATCAGTTGAAGAAACTGCTGGAGCCCAAAGCAGTTCTCCTCAAAGAACCCACACACGGACTTACTCAGACTCACTCTCTCTGAGCTCCAGCATTGAGGTAGCAGCTTGAAATGCCCCAGTGGTCTACAGTGAGGAAGTGAAGTGTCTGACACGAAGGTGGGAGCTGGAAAATAGCTTTCTCCCGGACAGAAAAGCAGGCAGAGGCCATTGTCCCCTTTCTGAGCCCTCCCCGCACAGAGCCACAGAGCTGGCAGGGGGCTGCCATATCTGAGACTCCATCAACCTGGTTAACATTGTTTGCCCTGCCCTGGAGATCCCCTACCCAATTTATAGGCTCACCCAAACCATGACTTTTTCACACGAATGGCAGGTTTTGGCTCATGCTTCATAACTTTCTAAATCTTATCAAACAAGTAACAGGTAGCCTCAGTGAGTCCCCAGCCCCCATACTTCTTGCTAAGTGGCCCCAGGATGGGCACTAGCAGCAGCCAGCCTAGATTCATAACATGGCTTCACCTGGGAATCACCAAGCCCAGCATAAGCAGCAGCCATCTCAAGTTGCCTTATAGCTCATGTAGGGTAGCCCTGGGAAGAACACAGGTGGGACTGACCTTGGCCTGCCACCACCTGGGAAACTCCAGTGCCTGTGGACCCAGTGGACAGCTACAGACCATGTCAAAGCAATGCCACCCTGCCCATGAACAGCTTATCATGCATGAAGGGTGAAGATTGGTGGTCAGTGGTAACAGCTAGTCCTTGCAGCTCACTGGCCTGGGTAAATCCCTCCTATTGACCTGCCAACACCAACCAAGGCTCAACTACAAGAGCAGGCTATACTCAGCCCACACAAAGAATGAACTGCAAATGCTCAGCTAGGGTGATAGGGGAGGCTGTGCCAGTGGACCCTACAGCACACCTACTACATTAGGCCATGCTACCAAGACATGGAGTCAAGCAGCTCTACCTAATATGTAAAAACAAACACAGAGAGGCCACCAAAAGAAGCAAAGAATTATGGTCCGAAGGAAAGAACAGATCAAAACTCTAGAAAAGGAACTAAACAAATGGAGATAAGCAATTTACCAGATGCATAGCTTAAAACACTGGTAATAAGGATGCTCAAGGAACTTAGTGAGAACACCAGCTGCATAAGAAAGATCTTGTCAGGAACAAAGGATACACTAATTGTAATAAAGAACAATTTACAGGGGAACAACTGTAGACTGCATGAAGCCAAGAACTAATCAATGATCTGGAACATAAGGAAGCAAAAAACAACCAATTAGAACAACTAGGAGAAAAAAGAACCCAAGAAAATGAGGACAGTGTAAGCAGCCTCTGAGACAAATTCATACATTCCAACATTTGGATCACATGGGTGCCAGAGAGAAAAGAGAAAAAACAAGAAGTTGGAAACCTATTTGAAAAAATAATGGAAGAAAATTTCCCTAATTTGGTGAAGAAAATAGAGATGCAAGTCCACGAAGCAAAGAGTTTCAAACAAGATAGATGCAAAGAGGCCCACTCCAAGACACATCATAATCAAAATGCCAAAGGTTAAATACAAAGAGAGAATCTTAATAGCAACAAGAGAAAAGCTAGTCACCTACAGAGGAGTTCCTATAAGACTGTGAGCTGATTTCTCAAAAAAATCTTTGCAAGTGAAAAGGGGTTAGCAAGAAATATTCAAAGTCATGAAAAGTGGACACCTACAGCCAAGATTACTGTACTCAGTAAAGATATCATTTAGAATCGAAAAGCCAATAAAGAGCTTCCCAGACCAGAAAAAAACTAAGGGAGTTCATCATCATCAAACTATTACTATATGAAATGTTAAAGATACTTGTTTAAGAAAAAGAAGATCATAACTATGATCAGTAAAAAGGTAATAAAAGCATGTTTATCAATAATTGAATCTAAAAAAAGAAATTAAGGAAACAAGAACAGAGAGAGAATTATGGATACAGAGAATTATTTGATTAATAATTAATTTGTTTAATTATTATGGTTGCCAGACAGGAGGTGGGTGGGGGTGGGGGTGAGAGGTGAGGGCATTAAGAAGTACAAATAGGTAGTTTCAGAATAGCCACAGGGATGTAAACTATAGTATAGGAAATGGAGTGGCCAAAGAGTTTATACGCAAGAGCCATAAAGATTGCTTGAGAGAGCAGGGGGTGCTGGGTACAGGTGGGCAAAGGGGAAAAATTAGGACAACTGTAACAGCATAATCAATAACATATATCTTTTTTATTTTAATTGTTGTTCGAGTACACTTTTCTGTCTTTTACTCCCATCCCAGCCCACCCACCCAGCTCTCCCCACCTCCCTCCCTAGTTTTCCACCCCCCTAGTTTTTGTCCATGTGTCTTTTATACTTGTTCCTGTAATAAAATATCATTTTTAAAAATTAAAATAAACTAGCATTTCTTCAGTAAAAATCTCT